TCTGATCTGTCACTACATTGAATTGACCTAGAGCATGTATTCAATAAAAATGTGATGGATGGGTATTAAAAATCTTCGAAGATAAAAAGAATTAATCACTGAGCTCATGCATCTATGTCATTATTATCGGTAGTTTGTTATGGGGTGAGATTAATGCCAAAATTAAATATTATGACATTAAAACAAAAATGGCAAAAGAATTCCACAGTAGTGATAAAATAATGAAAAAATAACGGTATAATAATTACACAATAATACTTTACAGAACACTTTAGAATATGTAATTGAATAGTTATTATGTAAATTGGATGATCATTATGCAAGAATTATAATCCAAAGCGTATCAGGTCTAGGCATTGCCAAAGAGCGTCTATGTACCAAGTTTCATAGAAATGGGGCAATTACTTTTCGCACTTTCGGTAGAAAAAGCCGAAAATTGCAAAGACTCCAATTGTTTGCTTTACACACAGGTCGCCTACAGTTATCTAAAGCGGGAATAGAAAAGTTGAATTGGGGTGTAGGTTTGGCTTATGGGGTACAAATGGGGTATTTCCAAAATCTAGACTCTAATAATGAGGAATTCAAGTTCAATAAAGATTATTTATATTTATTGAAGGTTAAACAGAGGTCACTCACTTCCCGTTGCTTTGACTGCTGGCCATTCTTCTTGCGTGTATCTGATGTCTTCGTATTCGACGCCGGCTAAAGCGAATAGTACTCTGATTTGCTCGCCAAAACCTCGACTGTTAAAATAATGTAATTTGTAGGACGGCATGGTCACGTCACAATGCGTATAGCAGGTCTGTGTGAAAACTGCTGAGTTTTACTGTACTGCTGGCGTTCTCTAGTTGAACTGACCGTAAACAGTTCCTGGGATCACGTGATTCCATCAGCCGGTAACTAAAGGTCATGCCGTGCCATTGTCTGTCAAGGTCACGCACAGATTTGAACTAAAACGAAGAAACATGCACATTTTTTTAATGTTCAACCTTTCGATACAATAATGCTACATGCGATTATTTAAATAAAGTGAATTGGTAACGTCACAGCTGTGGCACTGTGCCATGATGAGTCTACAACATTGGCTACCCATTTCAATACATTGTGTGGCGGCTAGATGACATAAGCACTAAGTCAATATACCAGCATGAGTCAGACAAAATAGATTTTTGCAACTGGTATGCTATATCAGCCCGGGTTACTGGGGTTAAGTCATGTGAGGGAACGGTTCAATATGAGAGACATGTTATTTACGAAGCTTTTTGTAGGTGTAACGAATACATTGTAGGTAATATCCGATGGGAGCAATTCAAGTCATTCGAACAAGCAATTTCCAAAATAACTTACTCGACCAACCAACGCGTTATATAATCATGAAGTAGTGGGGTGAGACCGTGAGAGATGTTGAATTGTTCGAGTTACGGACATCGAGTTACGAACATCGAGTTACGAAAAAATAGAGTTAAAAAAATGACCACGCCCATATTTTAGAAAACACGTCCACTTTTGCGAAACCACACCCAGATTGTAACTCGATGTTGTTAACAGAACTTCGAGTTATGGGCAACATATATTTTTTGTTTTGTTTAACATAGTATTTTTCCTGTAATTCGAAGCTCAAACTGTTTTATTTAACATGCTACAAAACACTTGAAAATCTTCAGGACCACTGAACACGTTGATCTGAAATTTGATTTTTAGCATCTATGTATAATGCTTATTCGAGTTTGCGGAGCTCTTTGCGATTGGTCATTTTTTCGTATAAGGAATTATTTACGCGAAACTCTGCAAGTCTATTTCCAACAAAACAGTCGTGGCAGTAATACACATCATGCATTTATAAATCCAATGAAATTGTCATTTTTCTGGATAACTCAAAACAAACTAAATCAAACTGCTTGCAGGATTACAACATGAAAATGAACCAGGCTGGGTTTTAATTTATGTCATTGGAGAACTTTTCATTTTTAATTTTTGTCTTAGATTTGTAAGACTTGGGACTGATGAACTAGGTCACTGAAGAGACAGGTTGCACGCAGCAACGTTATATCCGCCATTCTCATAAAGTCAAGCACATCACGGCGTACAGCACGCCATGCTGACTCGTAATGTCTCAGCTTAAAAGTCATGTCCTAAGCCGTTCCAGGGGCATTTCATTGAGATAAATCAATGTAGGCCAACCTAGACTAAATGGTACGGCCATAACCACAATCCGAGGCCATGTTGACAACCAGACAAATATTTCACGTATATGTTTAAAAATGTTGCAAATATTTTGTTCTAAACCATTCATGATAGGTCTATTAGATAATGAATTCGCTTGGTAGATAATGCGTAAATCACTCAATGGCCTTGCCTTCCTTTTAGGGACAACAGTGTGGTCAACATTCTCATTGATCATCAATTGTTGATACGATGTATTTTGTCAGAACTGTCATGAACTAACCCATGTCGTGTGTACATAGCATTTAGCGTACATAGTACAAGGTGTAGTGTATTGACTCCACATGTGAAAGATATTGATAGGAAAAGCTTCATGTCTGGTTTATGTTATTCGTGACATGTGAACTAATCTTCTAGGTATTTTGGTAGGTAGATATTTAGACATGTGTTCTATGATTCAATTCAAGATGACCTAATGGCGGTCACTGTCTTTAGTGCTATAAATTCATCAAAAACTAACAGTTCTGTTATTCTGGAGCCGATCTCGTTCATGCATGGGCATATTTTTTGAAAAATTGGTATGTCCATCAAATATAATGCGTCCTTGCGTTTTTATAAATTAGAACGATACAAACACTATTTTTAAACCACAAATTCAATAAAAACAATGTCTGTGTCTTTTTGACCCCAAACAACAATTTCGAAAGGTCTTTTACACTGCATTGATTTATAAACACCGTACAAAAATGAGTCATGCATTTGTTTACCAAATTTACATAAACTGTTTCATGCGTCACCTTATAAGACTCTGTCCCAGTGGGTAATTGGATATGGAGGTCGCATTTTACAGCAGGACGCCAACCACCAATACCTCGAATGCAACGAAGCTGCTACATCCTACGGGACTGCTAAACACACTGTCAGTCACGTATAAATTTACACAAAATAACAAGACATGAATGGCACAGTCCCTTCCCCGTCACTTGATAATAAAATATTGTTAAAGAAGTACTACATGGACTATTCAATACTTCCATTGTCTCGAATCCCAGAGTACACAAGTGCAACAAAACTATTTGTCAAACACATATTTGCTTAAGGAACTGCACTCATAAATCTGAGTAAAACTTGATGTATCTTCTTTGCCTCCTTTTTAATTCAGGTTATTGTACCACCACTAAGCACCATATTCATCCTCACATTGTACAAATACCATTTTTTAGTAACACAGTATGGTTTATTATTTAAAATATATTCATTGTACATACAGCAGAATCTGTTATTTTTTCCTGTAAATAATTAGCTATGTTTTCTGAGCAAGTAATAATTAAGGAAAAAGGTATCTCAATGGAGTAGTAACAATAATTGTTTTAAGTCTTCTTTATGCAGTGATATTACTAAATTTCAATCAATATCGAAGGGTATAAAATACTGTAAATTAATTCTCACTGCTAGAAATGTTCAGGATTATATGGCATATGCTATGACATGTCGTATGACCCCCCCCCCCCCAGAAAATTTCTCACTGCTACGAAATTCCGCAATTTTCAGACTCATGTAATTCACGAAAATTGCGTATTATGTATTATACAAAGCACATATATAACATACGGGAACATTAAAAAAATGTATAACTTTGACAATAACAGAGATATCTTCACCAAATGAACAAATTTGAAAGAGGACCCGTCCATGGGTTTACGTTATGACTCTCAAAGAAATCTAGCAGGCGGTATTGGAGTCAAAGTCAAAAGAAGAAGAAGACGTCAAGAATATGCAAAAATAAGCAAAAAAACAAACAAAAATATTGATTTAAATAGACACAAGTCTAGCCTAGTCCATGTCAAGAACATTCATGCCAAATGTCAATTTTTGACCTAAATTGACAAACATATTCCCTAAATTTGAATGTAATGTGATGGGATGTCATGAAATAAACAAATCTTACTGAGGGCCACCCCAGTTTGGTGTGCTATAAAAAGCAAAGTGATCTAGCTTACGGATGCGTCTGAAACAGGGACTAAAAACCTTCCGTTGACCTTCCTTATTTCTACTAGCTAAGCACTTTTATATAACGACTGAATAATTGAATAGACTGCCATTATACCATTTTATGTTACTTTTACTGACAGTTAAATGATGTAATTCCAATCACTATTTCGAACTTATCTTATGTTACGGCGTATTTCGGCGAGTACACTGACATTATAACTGTTTAACCTTGCATCTGGCGTTTGTAAAGCAATGAACCTAAGAAGACGTCGCTGCCTATTTTAGTTCCATAGTTACCACATCGGGTTACGACATACTAAAACGACAGACATGTTGTTTTGCTAACTTATTGCAGACGCAAATGTTGTTACCGTAATAATTATCTCTTTTGTGTGTGAGTTCGCCCCCAGCGTTGCTAACAATATTTCATTCACCGTCCTCCGTAGCGTTACACTTTACTGAATGCGTTTCGAGTATTTAGTTATATGTCCACTGACATGAATTTATTTCTTCCATGTGGCGCCCGCACGAAATTTTGCATGGGGGGGGGGCGAGATCTTCTCACCAGAAAAAAATTGAAATCTAGATCCTCTGAAACACTATTTACAGTACAGTAAATTATGACCCATTATTACTTTCAAGTACGTCTTATCACAGCAACGTAATTTGGGTATCTTTTTAGATATGGAAAAATAATGTAATGTACATTTAAATCATATTTGCCAGCCAAGTTTATTCGGTCATCGCCTCACTACTACACAGATGCAAAATAGTAGCCAAGGTATATTTAAGTGCGCCCTCTCTGGCAATACTAAAAATATTTTACGAATAAAATTGACAACTGACAGTACAAGATTTTCTTCCAAAAAATTAAGCTGATTTAGTTGCAATCTGTTACTTGATGGAAAAAATAAAACTACATAGATTAACTCAATTTATTCATTTTCCCATTTTTCACTATACCACACTTAGGAAACAGTTCTGTGAATTACGAGTACTGTGAATTACGAACCCGTGAAATGCGTGGTGATATTTGTGTGCATCATGCAAGCTGTATGCTCTCAGTATAATATAAACAGTCACACGTTTGAAATCATTTTACTTGCATTCACGGTACGTCTCTGGGGTATGAACTGCGAACGGATAGGCTTTCAATATTTTGTACAGACCGACCCATGTTTGAGGGAGAGGCCGTGCCGTGCTCCGTGCTATACGTAGGAGAAAAGGGGAAAAAAGTCGATCTCTACCTGATAGATGCTAAGGACCGAAACTCGGTACGTGCCGGGATTTGCTGTCTAAACGCGCGTGTTGTTTTCCATGTTTATATTAGGTCGAATAACAGATCGACGAATGAGGGCGTGATTTCGGCAAGAGCTGAGTCGGTCCCAACTCACGTGAAAGCAACTGCTGTAATGCTGCCAACACAACCAACAATTGTATAACGTAATAACGTAAACAATAAAATGAATAGTTATCTCGAAATAGCAAATCAGTGTATAGAGGATGCCAATTTTAGTAGTGGAATAAACCTCTTTTTATCCAAGCTTGTCATATATATTTTCACTGCCAACAACACTGGGTTCAGCACATTCCAAGGTACTTCACAATCACCATGTCACTGAGACACCATTTTGCCACCATGGCACCGGTGGGGGGGGGGGTATATGTATGTATATCAAATTCTGCTGACAGAGCTACTCAGTGACTGTATCAGCTGTCTAAAAATAAACATGTGCAATGAGTTTAAGCCGTGACATCATGTATTCAAATAAGAAGCCAATGTTGCTGAGTCATGATGATACAGTGATACAAAGTTGTTAATTCACTTTCTTTAAAGACATTCTGTTTCAGTTTGCATAATTGTACCGTAATATAAAACAGTGAATACAATTGGCATGCATTCTCGTTGTAGTTCAAATCTGTGTCGTTCAGACGAAACACGGTCACGGTCAGTGACCTCAACATGGACTATTTCAGTTACCTGACTAATTGCATCACGTGATCAACCTGTTTGAACTCAGTTGTCACAGCTGGCTTACTCATTCAGTCACTGGCGTAGCTATATAACTCCTGGTGTGGCGCATTGGTATCATAATCTAGCAAACTCGGTGTGCCCTAAACATTGTCGCGACGTAACCATGCCGACCTACAAGTTATACTATTTTAACAGTCGAGCTCTTGCAGAGCAGAGTCGAATGATATTTGCGTTAGCCGGCGTCGAGTACGAAGACATCCGATACACGCGAGAGGAATGGCCAGCAGCCAAAGAGTCGGGAAGTAAGTGGGCTATATGTATTTAAATCTCGATGCAGATACGCAGACTACTAAGCGGGTTTGTACAAAGGTCAACCACGTTGTGTCTGTCGAGGCCTTTTTCATTGGACATGCTACTACTCGGCAGAATATCAAACCTTTAGACTTCAGTGAAAACCAGCCGTCATGTGTACACAGCATTTAGTGTACATAGGTCAACATATAGTGTGTGCAATAAAGGACATCTGCATACACCATTCTTTGCAGAATGAGAAATTGATCGGGAAACGTCGAATTAGGTCTCAGTGTCTGGTCCAGTGACATGGTTACTAAACTTCTAGGTATACACATGTCAAGTCAAGTGGTGACGTGGCAGCTTATACCCAGCACTGTTCTGTTGAATAATCTAAATACGAAGTCGCCTTCTCAATTCTACCTTCTGTCTTTGACACACACTTATGCACAGCCATATCGTGTCGTTGTTTACAAACAAGCGTCTACCCGTGAGCCTTTGTGTTTTAGTATGGTTGTTATCGTCGCATAGAACCAATTCCCGCGCATGTACAGGCGACGACCCCTCCGCTTTAAATTGATATCCCAGATGTTATTTAGAACTGCACTATACCAATTAAGGTAGCGGGACTATTATTTGCATACTTGTTTTCATCTTCTAATTGTGACCAAATGACTACAAATAGACCCAGGAAAGTATATATTTTTAGAATCGCCAGACTTCAAGCTTTACAAAGGCATGTTTGCCATGTCCGTATCTGCATTCTACGCTGCGTTACTTAATCAAAAGTGAAACATTACTTTTTTTGTAAAAAAAAATAATTACGCATTTATGCTGGTGATAAGAAGTTTTTTTTTTTCACTTTTCCTAGTTGTTCAATAGTCTGGTAAATTGAATGTGTCTGGTCAGTTTTATTCAAGCAACGCGTTTTAAAAAATAGTGTGCTGAATTTCAATTTTACTGTTTTAGTCGCATT